GCTGTTCCAAGCCTGCTCTGTTTCAGCTCTTCTGAGACAGGGAGGTGAGCCAAGGGAACTGTGAAGGGGAGGGGCAGGAGGGCTTGTGCTGGTTTTTGTAAGCAGTGATCTAGTTTCATTAAAAAAAAAAAACCCACTCAGTAAATCCTGTCATCTCCTTGTGTCTGTCTGCCAGAGAGACCCTGAGTTGGGAAGATCAAGGGAGGGACCAAAGTGTGGGACACTGGCTATCAGGAAGCCTCCCCTGCAGCAAAAATAAAGCCTAGAAGCCATTTGTCAAGAGTCTCCCCTACTCAGGCAGGCCTTGACCCTGTTTCCAGTGCCTCCATCAGTCATGCTGTGCGTGCTCCCTGGCTAGGCCCCTCTCACAAGCCTGAGTGAAAGGTGGTGAGCAATTAGATTAGCTTTAGCCTGTTGGTGGGTTGCTGTGAATGGGTTGCCAGGGGTACTTCAGTTGTAGGTGACACAGACTTGTTCCCAGCTGGCAAAAGAGATTTTGACTGGCAGCTAATCCGTTGAAGTAGAGCTGCTCCCCAGGGAGACAGTTAATGCACGGTAAATAAAAGTTAGATGGTAACGTGGGGAAATTAATGTAGGGTCCTGTGACTGCGCTTTATTTAGAAGTTATCTGGGGACAGGGGCTAAAGGGGAGGAGAAAAGTTGTAGGTAGAAGGCAAGAATGTAGGTTATGAGGTTAACATAAAGGAGGCGTGGAACGGAAGGAGTTAAGTGTGGTTCCCCAAGGGTAAGTTACCATTAGGTGTGCCCGGGAGGGCTTTAGGACCATCCCCAGGATGCTGGTGTTGGGAGCCTGCTGTGAGGTTAGGTGTGTGTGCAGAGATGGGGTGAGGGAGGGGAGTTTGTGTACAGATGAGAAACTGCTGGGAAGGAAGAATGAGAAGTGATGTGTCACCTAGAGGTTGTCAACAATCAAGGTAGTCCTTACTGTAAGCACAGCACAAAGCCTCTGGGTATATGCTGCCAGGCAGTCGTGTGATACAGGACATTGGGATTTACCTGATCTGCCAGGATAGACAAAACCATCTGCTGTAGTTACTGTGCAGCCTGCTGCTCCCTGAAAGTGTATCCAGTAAACTTACAGTGACTGGGGACATAGCTCAGTTGGTAAGTGCTTTCTAAGCAAACACAAGGCCCTGAATTCGATCCCCAGTGCCTAATGTAAAAAAGCCAGAAATGGTGTGAAGTATGTGGTATGTGCAGAGATTGGGCAACCCTAGCATATGCCAGAGATGTAGACAAATAGCCACCCTTCTTTATAGCACACCAGTTTGTACCTCAGGACAGAGATGGCCAGGAGGTGCAGGAACGAGTGTCTGGAAATGTGCCGCTGGTCCAGTGGCTCTCCACCCACTCGTGTGAGAGAACATTGACAGTCAATAGGCCCAGTCTTGGGGGTCTCTTATAGTTGCAGCTGCTCTGATGGAAGATCAAACAAGCAACTCTCGGTGGGGACTCCTAAATGGCTCCACCTTCTGTAGGCACCAGCCACACCAATCCTAGTATTTAGGGTTTAGGAACATTACTGGGTGACCAAAGAGAATGTGTTTGCTTTGAAATGGATCAGTGCTGTACTCTAGGAGCATTTGAGTCTCTAGATGTTCAAAGCCATGTCCTTTTGCTGTGGAACTGACAGGGAATCTATATTGTGCTTGAACTTGGAGCATCAACCAAAGAGATCACTTGGGTGCAGTGAAGTTAACCTCTGGCTCCCAACTAACCTGGCACCTTGGCGGAGCTCCTGCATTGCATGCCCTGGCCAGCAGGTGGTGCTAGTACCGTTCTGCAGGTGAGAGTTTCAGAGAAGCATCTTGTGCTAAGGCATCCCATGAGTTGGGATTTTAAGCCTAGTTTCAGAGACAAAGTTAAGGTAGCAATGGGCAGCTAGTGATGTCCACAGGTCTCTGGAGTCATGTTTAGTAGCAACTAGCATCTAGGCCAGATTTGACTCCCAGCTCTCTTTTTACAGTAAGTCTGTGTCAGTTTCTGTATGAGTTTGTGGTGCCCACCTGGAAAGGCTGAGAACTAAGTGAGCTATTTCAAGGAATGAACACAAAGTGGCTTCCCTGCCTTGTGATGGCTACCAGTGACACCTATGGTTGTACAGTTTGGCCTAACATCTCCATCCTTAAGCCTGTTATTAAAGGTTATCAATCCAGCCAGGCTTGGTGGTGCACACCTTTAATCCCAGCACAGACCTCTGAGTTCCAGGACAGACAGACAGGGTTATACAGAGAAACCCCTGTCTTGAACAAGCAAAAAAACCAAACATCAATCCAGGGAGGGAGGCAAGATAAAACAGAATACATCCAAGACTGAAACTTCTACCCCCTCTACCCCCATACTAAGAATTTGTTCAGCACACATTAGGAAAAGAGACACTTCTCGTTACTGGGGCAGAGGATTTTTTTTAAGTCCATCAGCATCTAAATCAGCACGCTTTCTCTTTGCCCACCTCAGTGCACTGGTCTGCCCCTGCCTTACTCTGGATTGAGCCTCTTGGAGCCTACATGTAGACTTTCCTGCCTTTGGCAGGCTCTCAGCTTCACTTTTGGTCTCTGTACTCATCTAGGCGGAATGTCAGCATCGTCAGGATTCTGTAGAAGTTCCCAAAATAGAAGCTGTTTTTGCTTCCCAGAGTTTTGTTTTTGTTTTAATCCCATCTTTATGACTTGTTCTTTTTCCTCTCACATTGGTTCAGCAGTGACTTAAGTGCATAAAAACATAATTTGGTATTTTGTTGTTTACTTCTGTAGACTGGTCTGGCATGTCTCATTATTGGAACAGAAAAGGCCCTTTTGTGGTGCACGTTCCTGCATGAATGTCTGGATAGAGTACAGCTTGAGCTGAAGCAGTCAATTCTGAAATGCTCCTTTTTCATTGTTTTTCTCATGTATGTGTGGCTTGTGCCCTTACACCATGACAAGTGTGGAAGTCAGAACACAGCTTGCAGGGGGTGGTTCTCTCCCACCACACAAGTCCCAGAGACCAAACTCAGTTGATGGTCTTGACAGCAAATTTGTTTACCTGCTGGAGTCTGAGATGTCTGGTCAGCCCTCACCTCCTTTAAGTCAAAGCACATGGAAATAATTTGCCCTCAGTGTCTAGTGGGGAGTGTGAGGAGGCAGGGAACCCCTTGGGTCTCTAGTACCTGTGGCCCAAAGGAAGGAAGAGGAAATCTAATGAGCTGCAAGCAACGCTGCTTTCTGGTCAGGAAGAATGACCGTTTGCCCACCAGGTCTGACAGCCTGTCACAGGCTCAGGGACCTGCTCAGGCAGCAGGTGGAAACAGGGAACTGTTTCTCCCCCCCCCCCCATGCTGAGATTAAAGGTGTGCACCACCGCCAGAGGGAAGCTGATTTCTGTCTCCCTTTCTCTCTGGGATTAAGGGGGGTGCTCCACTGCCGCTAGGGGAGCTTTTTCATTTGAGCATAGTTCACGTAAGATTTTGGTATCTAGGCATGTACCTTCCTAGATACCAAATGTTTCCCACCATTGAGAGCATAGAAAAGTTTGTTGCAGAAAATTTGTTGTTCATGTCTGTTTTTATCCACCGAACCCTTTGATACAGAGGGATTGACAGAACCTATACACCATTTGAATAGTTATTACAGAGTTCCCTATCAAAAATCACTTGCTCATGTAACTAGAAAGAGTAGCCATTGCATTGTCAAAATAAGAGCACCAAAGGACAATTTGGTGTGCTTATGATTATACAGAGGAAGGACTTTGCCATATCCAAAGATAAAAATGTGAGGGAAAATCTGTGGCTATATAATTTTCTTAGAGAGATGAAACACATAAAGCGCCCATGGCCAATTGCTGAGAACTAAGGAGGTTGCTTTTTGGGTTTGTGAATGCTCTGTAGACAAGAAAGAAATGGAGAGGAAAGACACAGCAGGTTATAAGATGTAAGCTATGAAAATGTGTAGCTTCTAATAGCAGAACCAGGGGCTGGAGAAGTGGCTCAGTGGTTAAGAGCACTGGCTGCTCTTCCAGAGGTCCTGGGTTCAATTCCCAGCACTCACATGACTGCTCACAACTATGTAACTCCAGTTCCAGGAAATCTGACACCTTCACATCAATGCTCATAAAATAAAAGTCAAATTTTAAAAGCAACAAAACCACTTTAAGACAGTGGTGGCTGCCTCTGCTGCTCAGATGGACAAAGATCTAGAATCATCAGGAGGGGTAGGGAGGACAGGTCCCCACAGTCTCAGTCTACAGTCATAAGGGATGTGGGCTTCTGTCTGACCTAGGAATTCTACCTAGAGAGCAGTGTGCAAAGAAACCCACACTTGTGAAACTGCATTCAGCAGTTGGTACCTGAAGTGCTCTGCTTGGCTTCCTTCAATAGATCAGATGTGCCCCTAGTTCAGCAGAGAGCTAGACAACATAGATGTTTTAAATGATATGAAATGTGTAGGAAATATATAAGCTAGTTAGCAGTCCTGTTATAATCAAGTATTGTGTACTATGAGTACGTGTGTGTATAGGCCACACTAGTATACACTCAGCACAAACTTGTACGTATCTGTGACACTACATCTCACATCATGGTGGCTGTGGCATCAGGAGTGACTGGAGCGTCTAACTTCTGTTATAGTTTTTACAGAGACACTGTCTTATAGGTGTTGACTGAAATGTTACAGGGTACCTGACTGTGTAATGGCGGTCACGATTCTGAAAACACATCTGACTCCAAGAACAAGTCTCATGTAGCTCACCCCTGCAATCCCATCACTCTGAGGCACAAGAATCACTGAGTTTAAAACCAGCCCAGGCTATAGAGTAAGACCCTGTTCCCTCAAATACACACAACCCTTGGATAAGACATGTGTCAGGTTTCATGACTTCGCCACATCTGCATTCAGTGGTTTTCAAACCAGCCTAGGCTATAGAGTAAGACCCTGTTCCCCCTCAAATACACACAACCCTTGGATAAGACATGCGTCAGGTTTCATGACTTCCCCACATCTGCATTCAGTGGTTTTCAAACAATGGTTTATTGAACCCACTTAACATCTGGTGCCTTCTCAGAGTTTCTGGGCCCAGGCCCAATTCAGACTCACAAAGACATCAGGACCAGGGTGGTGACCAGCAGGAGGAGCAGCACCCAGAGCAGGGGTCTTGAAATAGAGTTCCTGCTGGAGCCTGTCAGAGCAGGGGTGGGGAGGGTACACCTGGAGCTGTCTGTCAGATAAGAGCCTGGGCTATCTTTACTTAGTTTCTCATCTAGTGGAGTTACGCCACCTCTGAACTTCCCTGTTTCCCGTTTCATCAGCATTTTTAGAGAAGGCCATGGCCCTTGGGGCACCCCCAACCCCTGGTACCTGAGGGCTTGAGTTTAGCAGCATCCTCAAAGCCCACTGCTCCTGGAGAACTCACAATGTCCAAGGCATGGACAGTGCTATTGTGGTGACCAGTGGACCGTCGGTGCCCTGCCAAGGAGAAAAACTCTGGCTTCCATCCGGTGGTCTGAGAGTCAGCCACAGGTCTAAGGCTGTATCAAAGAATAACGCTCCCACCCAGACTCACTTGCCATCCCAGAGTCACATACAGTAGAGCATGTTTCTGATCCCTCAGGGTAGCAGACAGAGGCACTACAGAAGAAGTAGACCTGATAGAAAGAAAAGCAGTCAAGGAGTGGACTAGTTTTTTGTTGCAGCTGGGCTGGTAGCACAGAGGCAGGGTTGAGGGATTCCAGTGCAGGACTGCAGGGAAAGACATGGGCCGGCAGACTTAAGACCACAGCTGCTCCATACTGGTGGGGATGCAAACTGTGTTGTTCCCAATTTGGAATTCAGATCTTCCTCTTCCTGAGAGCCCAAACCTGCAGTAGAAGACACTCCCCGCAGGCAGGAACTGCTGCATTCAAGAGAACTACAGCCGCCTGCCTGTTCTCTGCCTTCTGGCCCTAGGAGCAGAACTGTTGCAAGGCAGGGTGTTTTCTCCCCACCCACCCAGTTAACGGGAGCTGAGGTTTAGCCACAGAGCCAGGCAACATGTCTGCTATTTTCTCTACTCCTCTTCAATACCTGGAGGCAGAGGGGAAGACAAGGCACCACTGCTTTCAGGAAGCAGAGCCCAGGGGAGGTGGCCAGAGGCAGCACCAGCCAGAGGCAGCACCCGTAGACCTCAGCCACGGCACCCTCCATATAGGAGGTCAGTGCCTCTTGGCGTGGGAGGCAGTACACAGGCAAGATGGGAAAATGCCAACCTGAGTGACCCTGCCTCAGCTCTGCCTGCCAGTTCATACCGGATTAGTTAAGGGCAGTGATTTAAGCAGGAGAGATCTGTGAACAGTGGGTGATTGATAGGATATGCTGGGCTACCAAGCATGGATTGGACTATATAGTGTTACCTACAGTGTCATCTGTACACCACACAGAAGGTTAAACACCCCAAGTGCATCCATTTTTTTTTTTATCTTTTGGAGAAGTTGCTATGTTATAAGCCAAAACAGAAGAACAAGGAACACGCTATCATTTCTAGAATCAGAAGTGAGGTCACAGGAGAACACCACAACTGGTGTTGAGATTTAGGGTCGATTGAAGCCACACTGGTGTTTCCCTCTAACATGTCTTTTGTACAGATTTGCATGTGTAGGGAAATGTGCATGCCACAGCACACGTGTGAAGGTCAGGCAGTTTGGAGACTCAGTTTTCTCCTTCCACAATGTGTTTCCATCCAGGAATCGAACTTAGGTCACTAGCCTTGGCACCAATTACTTTTACCTGCTGAATCATCTTGTCAGCTACTTCTCCCTTCTTTCCCAAGTTGTTTCCGGGTCCTCTCTCCAAAGCCCTCGCCTCCTACCCTGGCTTCTGTCCACAACACCTGGGGAAAGCCAGCCCCTGTGCTGGGATCTTTGCAGTGTGCTGACTTCCACTCCACAGTGGGACGGGGCCCCGAGGAATGCAAGGTCTTCCTACCAGTCCCCTAAGGGTGCTTCCGGCGCTGGAGTCAAGGAGAGTGAAGGTAGTGACGGTGAAGCGCCGGTAGTGAGACCAGAAGAGCAGCTCCGCCCTGTCCAAGGCCACCATTTGTGTTCTGTAGTTGTCACCCTCGAAGGGACACCTAGATCAAAGAGAAGTCCAGATGCCTCCTTAGGGGGATGTGGCTGGCAGGAGCCCCCTGGGGTACAACTTAGTCACCTGCTGCTACTCACCCATCTGACAGAATGGGCCACTGGGGCTGTTGGAAGGGGTTGGCCGTGGGAGTGGCCCAGCACTGGTGTAGCATCAGGACCATGCCGGGGTCGGTTCTCTGCAGGAGACGGATCTCCACATGGACTGGTTCTTGGAGCAGTCTCGCAAGGGGATAGTCACGCTCCCGATAGTAGGAGCTGAAAGTCTTGTCTGTGGAGAGAGGGGCTTACGAGCCTAGGGCAGACTGCATCAAGGCATTAGAGGCAGGAGGGAAAAAGCAGTGGTGGGCTGGGGTGAGGGAGGGGGCCGTACCCTTGGCAATCCTCAGCTCCAGCCGCAGGGGTCCAGACTGGGTCACAGGGGCAGGTGGTTGGGGTGAGAAGATAGATGCCTGAACAGGCAGGAAGTCACTAGCGTTGAAGATACAGCGAACATGAAGCCTGAAGTCCAAGAGCAGGAAGTTGGGGAAGGCCACATTATCAGAGCACTTTGTTTAATCAACCACATCCCATCCAGGGATGCAGTGGACAGCATCTTCTGCCAGGTGCAGAGATGTTCCCTGAGTCATCACTAGGGTCATGGACATCACTGTTCACCCTTTCCTCTCTTCTGCCCACCTGATCTACACAGCTTGAGCTGGCTCTATCAGGTCCTACTCTGGGTGCCAGGTACCATGGTATCAAGACAACAGGGCTCTGTCCTGACACTTGAGGTCTTTGAAGGCTGGTGTGAAGACCTGGATTGTGGAGCCAGGAACAAGCCTCGTTTATCCCCTTTGCACTACTAAGGGGTTCTAGTGAGGACTGTGTGAGGCCACAGGACTCTCAGGACCTTGCTTTGCTTGTCTTTGCATGTAGCCTACGAATGTCTGGTGTCTCCCTCAGTAGCCTGAGTGTCATGTGGTCACCAATACATGCCTCCAGGGTTCCATGCCCAGTGCCAACTGATGGTGTGTTATGCAGCTGTTGTGAAGGTCCTACCCTCTGCCGTCTTGTACCCCTCTAACCTAACCCTGACAGGCTCCAGCCGTTCCCTACACTTCTGTTCCCCCTCCCCCAAAGTCCCCAGTGCTGTGCTGAAGCTGGTTGCTCCAAGCACTTAAGTCCAAAAGCTTAAAGCATGCCACAAGACTTGTGTCCCCAGCTCTGGGTCATAAGTACTTTGTGCTAAAGTGAAAGACTTTTGTTCTCTGATACCAGTCTCACACCCCAACCCTGTGGCAGATGGAGTCGGGGAGAAAAGGGCTCCCAGGCACTCACATGGTGCCAAGCACAGGCTCTGGACAGCCCATGGCTGATGCACTGGCTGTCTCTGGCAGAACACACTGACCGGAGCTAGCTGCCTTGTTCTGAAATCTCAAAGCCAGGTGTAACAAGGGCAGGCTCCTTTGGGGTCACCCCTCCTGTCAACCCTAGGCAGCTGGGATGGTTGTGGCCCCTGAAAACAAGCACAGGTTCAGGAGGCCTCTCCCTTTAGGGTTCCTCTCCTAGTTCCTTCCTCCACCACATCCTTAGATGCTTCGGTCTGAGGTATAGTCACGTCCTATGTGGTGTCATAATCTGTAGGCAATAACCACAGCTTCCTGGGGCCTGGAAGGGATGCCTTCAGTTACTGAAAGCTTAGTTCTTAGAGGATAAAGGCAGGGCTCACTGGGAGAGCCGCAGTTGGCTTTGCCTGGGCCTCATATACAGATAAACACAAAGGACTTAGCCTCTCATTTGCATGGTAGGGGAGGCTCCAAGACATACATTCGCTCATTTAGGGCCGGTCACACAGATAGGTGACAGCAGAGTTGGGATTTGCCCCAGCTGCCTCCAAATCTGTGCTGAGTTCTCCTGCAGCCCTCTCACTCACCGGAAGACACTGTCCCGAGTGATGGAACCCTTTGGCCCCTTTTGGACGTCAATGTTAGACACCAGCTGGTTCTCATAGATGAGCTGCTCACCAACCACCTAAGGAGGAGGTAGTGAATGAGTGAGATCCCCATTCGCTTCCAGCCTGCAGCCTACCTCTAACTGAGGACGGAGAGGTAGCTAGCAGGTGAGGCCTCCCAAGAGGTGGGATTCACCTCTAGCTCAAGCTCCACTCCTACCTGGATTGTCGTTCCACAGAGGGTTAGAGGAACATGGAAGACCACAAAAGCGCTTGTCTTCTGGGTAGGGGGGCATCTGCTGGGGGCATAGGCCAGGTGGATATTGTTCAGCATGACCCTGTGTGTCAAGGCTGTTTCTTGGGATATGGCCAGGGTGAAGTAACCACTTCTGGAACACTGGAGAGTGGCTAGGACAAAGGCAGATTCAAGAGGCAGATCAGAACATTGGGACTTTGTCTCTCCAGGGCAGAGACGGGACGGGCTCTGTGGGTGACAATTGATTTAATCACTAGCCGGGAGTCAAAGGACCTGAACCCTCTTCTTCCCTGTGGTGGTCTCAGCAAATGCCCTGCTGGGCTGATGGACAGAGCTGATGAACGAGACAGAACTGACTTATGGAATGCAGATGTTTGAGATCTGTAGGTCAGGGTCACTAAGGAGGAGCCTAACAGTTCCCTGGGGCAGGTGCTCTTCCTGACTGAGGGTGTCTGCATGCACCTGGGAGCTGGGTTCTCTTAGGCGGCATGCAAGGCAGTTCAGCTGGGTGGAGGGGAGACTTCCCTGCCATGCCAGGATCCAGAGGAGCATGCTTGGCATGAGAGGTTGTACCTGTGTTGCCATAGTAACAGGGTACTTCTCTGGTGTTGTCGTAGCAGCAGCCAGCCTGCTGACAGGCTTCCTTGGAACTACTTTTTATCATGCAGGGAATGTGCCCAGAGGCTACCTGACACTGCTCCTGGGTCAGATGGGTCCCTAGGGTTAGTGACAGAGCAGTGAGGAAATGATTGCTCAGAGCACAGAGGCCCCAGACACAGGCATGTGCACACAGAGGGCTCCCACATACCTACAGAATCCAGCTTAGTCAATTCCAATGGTTCCAAAGTGCCCCACTGGGGATGAGGCACAGTGGGCCCAGCAGGTCCAGGTCCCGGGGATGGTGGAGCAGGAGTTGAATGGATGAAGCTGTGCTCTGGGTACAATGTGCTGAGAAGAGGCGTGTGGCCAGACCCAGCCAGCGTGTGGCCAGACCCAGCCAGCGTGTGGCCAGAATTGGTATGTGGGACAAAAGTATGAGGTGTAAAAGGTTGAGGTGTAGTGGGTGGAGCCAGGTAGGGGTCCGGAGTCACAGTGTGGTCTGCTTTAGGACAGATCAGAGTGACATCTTGTGCTGTATCCACGTAGCCATTGGGTAGTACAGCTTGCACGAACACTCTCAGGTGGAACCGTCCATCCTGCAGGTGAGAGTGCCGTGGAGAGAAGCTGAGTGTGGCCACCTGACAGGTCAGGTGAGCGCTGGGCTAGAGGCCAGAGCATGGAGCCTGGCTGTTGATCTGTCCACCTAGCCCCGGAATGGTTGCCTGTGGTGTTAATGGGAACTGAGCAGCTCTGATACAGGGAGTCGATTTGTGGCGTCTCAGGACCTAATCTGTCACCTACCCACTCCTCCACCATCATAGGCTCTATTCTTATGACCATGGGGAGCTGTTAGGACAAGCTCCCTCTGTTCTCACAGGTGTGACTGTCCTTACCTTCTGCAGCACATGGCAGCCTCTGTAGTCAGCTGAGAATACTGCAGGGTCATGGGGCTCAGAGATGACCCAGTGGTAGCAGATAGAGCAGTTATTCACCTCAAACCGGTTCCCAAATTCATCTGGGTAAGGGGAGGAGGCAGGAGGACTTGAGGTACTGGAGAGTGAGAGGTTGCTGGGAACTTCTGAAAATCTCTGGACAGAGGCAGGACCTAGTTTTGTTTGCTAGATTGGCTATGTGGCCTTAGGCAAGTGTCTTTCCCTTTCTGGTTTTCACTTCTGCAGGGGTTAAGTGGTCATTGGTTCTTTGTACCTGGGGTAGAGAGTATTCCCAAGGTGTCAGGCAGACTGAACACCTTGTAGTCTAAGTTTAGTTATCTCAGATCTTGACTGAGGCATCCAAGATCCCCAGGAGGCAGAACTTTCTTAGGGGTGGACTAAGGGCAGAGTAAAAAAACCAAGCTTATTTGCCATGTTAAGGGGCCCTGTTAGGTGCTCACTCACTTTGTGAGCTCAGAACAGGAGTACCAAACACCCCACCCTGTGAGCCTGCCCCTCACCTTTCCCTTTCAGGGTACAGGGCAAGTGGGGTGGGGGTCACCTTTGCAGACGGGACTCTGAAGCTGCAGATTCAGTTGTCACACAGAGTCCCCCATCCCTGTTCTCTACATTAAGTTCCATTCCTCAGGGCTCTCGAATTCAGAGTGTGGTTTGTGGGCCTGGAGCTTTGCAGCCATAAGATAAGGCTGGAAATTCAGAGCCCAGTAGTTTTGAGTCATAATGCCCCTTTCTCATAGGTAACCCCTGTGCAAGAAGCCTGGGAAATTCTGCTCTGGTTACCTCCCCATCTCTGGGTGGTGACAGGGCAACAGGCTGGCTGCTGCAACCCTCTGGATGGCCTCTACTCTTCCTGCTCTCCCTTCAGGGAGGAGGTCTAGCTCCCTCCTTGCTGCATGCTGGGCTTGGGGCTGGGACGGAAGTTGGGATAGGCCTATGCCAGCACTCACCCAGCACCTTGAATCGGATAGTCTGGTTTGACCTGGGGATCACCAGCAGCTGCATACCCTGCACCCCACAGTCATAGCTGTATTCAAGGCCAGGCTTGGAGTGTAGATGCTGACCCAACCTCAGGGGAGTTGCCACCAGCAGAAGCACGGCCACAAAGCAACCCCAGGCCATGGCGGAGGCTCCTGCCAGTACACACCACAGACACCCACAGCTGCTAGAACTTCCCTCTCAGCTGGGGAGCCGGGCCCTTATATGGATCAGGTAGCAAGCAGCAGCCTTTGAGGGCTAAGGAGATTCACCTGCTGGGTAGCCACTTAGTTTACAAGGGGCTATGGAGAAACTCCTTCCCCTGAGGCAGCAGAAGGCACCTTCCATCCTGGGTCTATCAGAGATGTTCAGAAAAGCTGCACTTGACCCCTCACTCCGTTCTCTGTGGCAGCTGGGACTGCCTAAGGATTTCTAGTCAAGAGGTTGCAGGCAGGCTATAGGACAACAGTTACATTCCTGAATGCCTCAGTCTACTGGCTGGGTGCTTTCAAAGTCTCTCATGGGTGTGGGAACTTCCTGCCTAGGCAGTCCTCCAGGGTCACCTTCTTCCTGTCCTGGGCCTCAGGACCCTAGGAACTGAATGTAAGGCTACTTCCTGCCCCCATCTGACCCCAGCTTCTGGAAGAGTTGGGAGTGTGCAGGGTGGTGGGTGGTGAGCAATTAAACCAGTGGTAGCACCTTTCAGGGTTCTCTAGGGTTAGACCAGTTAATTGTTAGCTATCACAGGTGGGCATCCTTTGTTTGAAAATGTGACATTCCAAATGCAAGAGTAATCTGAAATCTACGCACAAGCATGATGAAGAAAGTGGAAATCTGTTCTTGACCTTGTGGTGGGTCACTGTGAATATGCAAACATTATATATATATATATATATATATATATGTATATGTATGTATATAGGCTAGGAAGGTGGCTCAGTGGGTGAGAATGCCTGCTGTGCAAGTGTGAGGACCTGAGTTCAAATCCCAGCATCTGTGTAAAAAGTCAGGCATTTGTAACCCCATTGCTTTTGGGGCTCGAGATAAAAGGATTTTTGGGTCTTTCTGGCTGCTAGCCTAGCTCCTGGTTCACTCTCCCAAGGGATTACAGCATAGAGTGATAAAGCAGGTTTGCCCATTCATGTTTTGACACTTGACGCAAGTTAGTCACTTGGGAGGAGGAAGCCTCAACTGAAAAGATGCCCCTATCAGGTTGGCCTGTAGGAAATGTTTCTTGATTGATGAGTGATGTAGGAGGGCCTGGGCACTGTGGGGGTTCTCTGGGCAGGAAGTCCTGGGTTATATAAAAAAGGAAGGCAAGTGAGATATGAGGAGCAAATAAACAGTGTTCTTCTTGGTTTCTTCCTGCCCTGACTTCCCTCAGTGATGAATGATTACCTAAAAGCATCAAATGAAATGAACCTTTCTGCCCCAGGTTTCTTTTGGTCATGGTGTTTATCACAGTAGCAGAAACCAAACTAAGACAGCAGGCTACCAGATGCTGTACTCTGGCCTCTACACACACACACACACACACACACACACACACACACACACACACACACCACTTCTAGTCCCAAGCATTTGGATAAGGGGTACTTAAACCTAATAAATAAGCTAATAAGAATAGATAATGGGGACTGGCTGGAGAGATGGCTCATAGGTTAAGAGCACTGACTGCTCTTCCAGAGGTCCTGAGTTCAATTCCCAGCAACCACATGGTGGCTCACAACCATCCATAATGAGATCTGGTGCCCTCTTCAGGTGTGCAGACATACATGGAGGCAGGATGTTGTATTCATAATAAATCTTAAAAAAAAAGAATAGATAATGGAACAGATGTGGCTTCCTAGATAGACTTAGGGAAAACTCAGGAGATGTATCTACCAGGCTTATTGACAATAATAAATGCCTGGTGTTTTTAGAAGGCAATAACCACAGGGAAAGTGGCGAGGGGTTGCTAGTCACCTAATGTCTTCCCGGTTTTCTGTTCAACAATTGTAAGAGATACATCTATGGATACACAAGAACGGACAGGTGGGTGCCAAGGCTCTGTCAGCTCCTCACTCTCCCCACATCCTCTGAGGGCCTGCATCATCCTCATTTCAGGGCACTAATTCACCCAGAGCCCAGCTGAGCTCAGTGAAGGCTGGTAAGATGGGTCATTAGTGTTGACAGTTTCCTTGCACTGCTGAGAAGCATGTTAGTAGTGGTTAGTGGTTACAGGTTGGCTGCAATCTACCTGCTATGGCTTCTCACCTGTGACCTGGGCATGTCATTTTTCCCCCCAAGCCTAAGCCTTCTCCTTCAGGAATCACATATAATTTGTGCTTTTCTGGCAGGGTGAGCAAGAAGATTCAAAGAGGCCCATATAATGAATGGGTTGAATTATATGCAGCAATGGCTTAATGAATTACTTAATGCATGGCTCTGGTGGCCAGGCTGAGCTGGAGGAAGCTGGGTGGGTGGTTATTTGAGTGCAGTAGGAAGGGGCATCCACCTAGATGGGGTGCAGTAGGGTGGGGTTGAATGAAGCTCCTGGAAGTATTTTTGAAGGAAAGTTAACTTCAAGAATAGGGTCTTGGGCAGGAGAGATGACTCTGCGGCTAAGACCACTTGTTGTTTTTGCAGAGGACCTAGATTCAGTTCCCAGCACCCATATGGCTCACAGTCATCTGTAACTCCAATTCCAATGGATCCAATGCTCTCTTCTGACCTCAGTGGGCATCAGGCATGTTTGTAGAACTCATACATAGATGCTGGCAAAATACTCATCCACGTTAAATAAGTAAGTTGATAAATAAAGAAATTAAGGAAAAAGAACCATCTGCAAGCTATAAAAGAGTGGAGACTTAGGGTTGGAGATGTAGCTCAATTGAGTGTTTGCCTAACATGCATGAGGCCCTGGGTTCAATTCTCAGCACACGCAGGCACATACACACACACACACACACACACACACACACACACACACACACACACACCTGAAGGTGGTGGCACACACCTGTAACCCCAGCACTTTTGTGAAGATGGAGGCAGGAAGATCAGGATTTCAAGGTCATCCTGTTATATAGCAAGATTGAGGCTAGCCTGGGCTATGTAAGACCCTGTCAAACAACAACCGCCCCCAACAAAAACAATAAACAAACAAACACAAAACAAAACAAGAGCAACCCCAAACCACACACACATTAAGGGTGGTAGGAAAGGAAGGGGGTGGAGAGAAGATGAGGCAGAGAGGGAAAAGCAGTCAGTAAAAAACTAGAAGAAAGATGTTTTCTTTTTTCGAGGCAAGTTTTCTCTGTATTGTTTCGGAGACTGTCCTGTAACTCGCTCTGTAGACCAGGCTGGTCTCGAACTCACAGAGATTCACCTGCCTCTGCCTCCTGAATGCTGGGATTAAAGGCGTGCACCACCAACACCCAACTGAAGAAGATGTTTTGCTTTAGTTTACTGTTTGGTGCAAGGCAAGAGCACTCTGCCAAGAGCCACATTCCCGGCTGAAAAGTGGTCACTTGAAAGTAATCTCAGGCTTTCGGAGCTCTCAGAGAAGATCTTACATGTAGCGTTGTCCCACAGTGGTACCCCACTCTTTTTGCATTTGTTCTAGCCTCTATTTTCTCCAGTGTCTGTATGCACTGTGTGTGCACGTTTTCTTCTGTGCTGCTGGAGAGTCCTACAGTGGATTCTTCTTTACCGTTTGTCGTGTACATTAATTATGTAAGTTATCACATGCCGCGCCATTTGATCTCACTGAGAAGCTGGCTCTGATGTGGAGTTGCCCTCCCCCCAATTCAGGCCCAAACACGTTTATGTCAAGTGTCCTCCAAAATTCCCCGACCTGAGTTAGGCTGGTCCTCTACTCTCACACGGAGAAAGGAAGCCAGCCAACAGCCCAGGAGTAAAAACAGTGCACCCTGAAGACTAGCCGAACCGTGCACGATTTGCCGCTGAGGCAAGCACGGCTTATCCCATAACATAAACATTCCTGCTGTGGGAAGAGAAGGCGGATGGATACTGACGCACAGAAGAGTGGTGTGCGCAGCCCAGAACTCTAACACGACTGTTCGGCAGGGCTCCGCAGTTGGTTTCTGCGGGATGTCTGTAAGTGCTGGGTTTGCTGGTGGCAATCTGCTGCTAATTGGTTCTTTCTTTGGAAGTTTCAACCAGGTGGGGCTTCTGTGCACTGCCTGGGACTTTGTCAATTGGGAACTCCCCGATGTCTGCCTCAGTGGGGTTTCCCCAGTCATTTCCTGCTGGAACTCTCTAAAGCCCGGATTTGATGGTGCTACTGCGTTCTCTCTCATTTGGGCTACTCCAGTCTTCTCTGTTGGATGCTCTGAGTGTCCAATCTGATGGTGTTTTGCTGTCACTGCTCTTCATCTGCTCCTCATTGTTTATTCTTTTACTTTACTGTACACTTAAATTCACTCATTCAGAGACCACTCTACAAAACACTTCTAATTACTTGAATGCACATTTTCTTTTGAAAGGATGTATCTGCAGTAAACTGATCAAAATCAGGAAATCAACACTGGTTGAAACTCATTTATCTAATCTATAAACTTTATCATGTAACATTGTTCTGATAAAGACTCACGTGAGTGTGTGTGTGTGTGTGTGTGTGTGTGTGTGTGTGTGTACTGTCATCTACAGGTACATGTGAAAGAAAGTTGATTTCAAGAGTAGGGGTGGCCGGGTGGTGGTGGCACACGCCTTTAATCCCAGCACTCGGGAGGCAGAGGCAGGTGGATCTCTGTGAGTTCGAGGCCGGGCTGGACCGACAGCCTCCAAAACAATACAGAGAAACCCTGTCTCGTAAAACCAAAAAAAAAAAAAAAAAAAAAAAAAAAAAAAAAGAGTAGGGGTGTGGAGCCAAACAAGCAAAGTGGCACACATTTTTAATCTCAGCACTCCAGAGGTTGAGGCAGGTGGATCTCTATGAGTTCAAGGCCAGCCTGGTTTACATAGTGAATCCTAGGATAACCAGAGAGAGAGCTACACAGAGAGGGATTATCTCAAAAAGCCAACCAAAACCAGGCGTTGGTAATACACGCCTTTAATCCCAGCACTCAGGAGGCAGAGGCAGGAGGATCTCTGTGAGTTTGAGACCAGTCTGGTCTGCAAGAGCTAGTTCCAGGACAACCTCCAAAGTCACAGAGAAACCCTGTCTCGAAAAAAAAACCAAAAAAAAAAAAA